TGTTGGTTTTCCAACTCTAGGTCTTTGCACATTTCGTTATCATATTTTTCTTTGTCTTGTCAAGCTGCCCTTTGAAATGATATGTTCAACTCTTTGTTTCTCTCTCTGTTCAACTCTTTTAACTTCATGATTTCTTCCATTTGCTTTGGCTACTCTAACATTAAGAACAAATTTCAGAGACTCTTCTGGCATCCACTTTGATCTTTTCTTTCTTTCTGCCTATTTAGCGACCCTTCATGAATGATGGTCTTGATGTCCTCCCACAGCGCCTCAGGTCTTCTGTCAGTAGAGTCCAGTGCCTCAAATCTGTTCTTGAGAGGTTCTCGGAATTCAGGTGCGATAGACTCCAGGTTGTATTTTGGCTCTCATGGACTTGCTTTTGTTTTCTTCAGCTTTAAATTGAACTTGCATATGAATAATTGATGCTCGGTTCTACCATCAGCCCCTGGCTGATAATGAGTTTCTCCATTGTCTTCCCACAGAGTAGTCCATTTGATTTCTGTGTATACATTTTGAGAAGTTCATGGGTATAGATGCCTTTTGTGTTCTTGAAAATAGGTATTTGCTGTGGACAAGCCACCAGTCTTGCAAAGATCTATCATGCAATCTCCAGCTTCGTTTCTGTCACCACGTTCATATTGTCCACCTACTACTCTTCCTCTTTGTTTCCAACTTTTGCATTTCGATCACCCATTATTATCAATGGCTCTGGATGGCAAGTTTGATCAATTTCTGACTGAAGTCGTTGGTAGACATCTTCAATTTCTTCATCACTGGCTTTTGAGGTTGGGGCATAAATGTGAATAGTAGTTATCCTGATGGGATTTCCTTGAAGGTGGATAGATGTAATCCTATCACAGTGAGGATTGTGCTTCCAGAGAGACCCAGAAGTGTCCTTTCGGATGATGACTGCAATCCCATTCCTCCGATGGCGTTATTCCTGCCATGGTAAACCATAGGGTTTTCTCGTTCTCATTCAAAATAACCAAGCCCAGTCCATTCAGCTCATTGATGCCTGGGGAATGATCTTTCTGCGTTCCATTCCATTTGTGATGACTTCCAATTTTCCTAAATTTCTACTTCGTAATCCCAAATTCTGATTACTAATCAATGCTTGCAGCTGTTTCTTTGCTAGTGACGCTCTTGAAGGCTTTGCTCAACCCACATCACCGCGCTGTTGTGAGGTTCCATCGTCAGCTCCGACCCATGGTGACACTCTGACAACAGAACAAAATGCTGCCCAGGCTGCGCCAGCCCCCAAATCACCCCTGCCACCGTGTCCATCCATCTCCTCGAGGGTCTTCCTCTTTCTCACCGCCCCTCCACTTTACCGAGCACGACGTCCTTCTCCAGGGACTGCTCGCTCCTGACGGAATATCCAAAGTATGCAAAAGACGAGGTCTTGCCATCCTGGCCTCTAAGGAGAGCTCTGGCCGTACTTCTTCCAGGACAGATCCGTTTGTCCTTTTAGCAGTCCATGGTACCTCCAGTATTCTGTTCCAGCACCACAGTTCAAATGCATCTGTTCTTCTATGATCTTCCTTATTCAATGTCCAACTTGGACACATTGTTGAGGGTTCAAATACATGATAGCCACTATAATGTCTTGATAATTTAGAAGAGTCTTTATTTGGTTAGAACTGGACTGCCAGAATCTAAAAGTGATTCTTTGATTGCAGTTCCGAGTCCACATCTCAGTCCATCTTTAAAGGCAAGAAACTCATTTATCATTTGTCTAGGACTTAAGCAAGTGTGGACAGAAGCAGAAAGCAACATTAATGTTACTATTCTGTAGAGTTAGTGAGTGTTACAGGGTACAGCATTGATTGTCCTGGTTACACCATCAAAAGGAACAATGATTAACTACAATGTTCTGATCTCGAGAACCTGAGAGTACATTCTAAAATCAATCCCTAGTGGGACTTTCTGAGATGGGCGGGGGAAGGAGGCGGGTCATTCAGCAGTCAACAAGATGGAGTTACACTGGCTAGAGTGTCTGTCTCAGCGTCACCATGGTTGCCTCTAACTTGGGAAGGCAGCTTCTCCTCAGTCATATTCCAAGTGCCTTCCCGATGGTGCCAGGTTTTCACTTGTGCAACCCACACGTTTGCTTCTGTAAAAGCTTGCTGCCGTTAGTCCTTAGAACAGCGGTTCTCAACCTGTGCATTGTGACCCCTTTGGGGATCGAACAACCCTTTCACAGGGGTCACCTGCTTCATAACAGTAGCAAAATGACGGTGACGAAGTAGCAATGAAAATAATTTGATGGTTGGGGGTCACCGCAACATGAGGAACTGTATGAAAGGTCAGGGCACGAGGAAGGTTGAGAACCACTGCTTAGAGGCACTCTTTTTTTTAAACCACTTAATGGAGTGCTGTACTGCACTGGGCCCCAAGAGATCGAAGCACCATCCAGTACCCCAAAGACCCTCAAAGACCTGCACTCCTTTTGGTGTCTTAGGGGTGGGGTACCTTATCGACTTGCTTCAGGTAACACAGTTGTTTCCTGTTGCTCAGTACTCTGACAGTGTTTGTTTCAGACCCTGATCCCTGCCCTACAATTAAGAAATCTCAGGCTGTGTCTCAGGACTGTCCCGCCGTGCAAAGAGTCGCTATGGGTTGGAACCGACCTGATGGCATCTGACAACAACAAGAAGAAGAAGGAGTCCTGCTCTGTAATTAGGAAAAGAACCCTCACACCCCCCGATCTTGTTTAGACAGTTACAGATGTTCACTGATGTTCAGCTGTGCTCTGAAATAAAACCACGTTTTCAGAAGCAACTTATACGATGGGAAAAAGAAGGCCGGCCTGGGGGTCTGTGGCCGTGCCCTCCCCTGCCCACCGGGGCCAGCCATCCGCCACAGTCATTGAAGAGGACACTGCTGAAAAGATCCAGGCAGGCCAGGAGCAAACAAAGGGAGTTCTTTGTCCTGCATGGCGGAGGCAGAGAAGTCACGGCTCCCAGACTCTAGACTTCCCAGCTTTCAGCCATCTTATCCTCCGGGCTTCGCTCCAGGGGTCATGCTTGTTATTGCGGCTGGCTGGGGGTTATGGACCATCTTCCCAGGGTTTCAGTTCCCAGGGACCATGACTGTCTTAAGGACAGGACAATCTTTCCATGCATTCTCTAGCGCCCAGAGGGGTTCATCAGTTCTACACACTGTGGATTGGAAAGCAAGTTCTGTGACCGACCACAATCGCAGGTGCCCGAGATAAACAAGCCCTTTTCTTTCTCCCCATCACCTGAATTCCAATTCTACACCAATGCAGCGGCTATTGGGTGTCGTCCAGTCCATTTAAGCGCATAGTGACCTTATGTACAATAGAAGGAAACACTGCCCCTGCCCGCACCATCCTCACCATTGTGCCTATGCCTCAGCCTGTTGCTACAGTCACTGTGTCAGTCCATCTCCCCGAGAGCCTTCCTCTGCTTTGCTGCCCCTCTCCTGAGCATGATGTCCTTCACCATGGACTGGTCTCTCCCGGCAACATGTTCAAAGCACATGTGACAAAGTCTCTCCATCTTTCTTTCTAACGAGCACTCTGGCCATTCTTCCCCCAAGATCTGTCTGTCCTTTTGGTAACCCACGTTACTTTCAATATTCTTCACCAGCACCACAAGTCAAAGGCATCATTTCCTCTCTGGTCTTTATTCAATGTCCAACTATCACAGACCTATGATGCGATTGCTGCCAGGGAGGCAGGACACACAAGCTGGGTGGATTGTGGGTGGGGGGTGTCTCTGCCCAGCAGGAGGCACAAGATTGAGGGAGGAGTCATTGGGGCCCACCACTGGGAAATGACTTCGCTGAGATATCCCTCTCAGCACAGGCCTGTGGGCCCCTGTAAGTCCTAAGGTATCTGCGTTTACAAGAGAAAGAGCTGACCCAGTGAAAACAAAGCCAGGAAGGCCCACCTCCACGGTCCTTCAATCAGCCTGTCTCCTCGGAATCCAGGCATGGAAAGCAGGTTGTGCCTTAGGAGATGTCAGAGGGACAGGGGAGGGAGCAGCCGATCCTGCAGGGTGACCCCAAAGCTCAGAGTGTGTGTGGTTTGAGCCTGAGTGGGTGGAGTCAAGTGCCCAGTTTGGATGGAGCCTTGGTCTCCCTGCCCTAAGGTCAGTGCTAAGTGTTGTCAGTGCCCTCGGGGGACACAGGGGACATGGGAAACACGGGGAACCTTTCCCTAGAGATTTTCCAGGCTGGCCTTCTGAGCGTGATCCCCAGGGCTTTCTCCTGCAAAGCATCAGCCTTCGGCCTAGCAAGCAAGACTGGTTTGACCTGGAGTGCTAGAAAAACCTGCAGGGGTTTACCTGGGGGTGGAGACCTGTGATCAACATTTTTAGGGTGATTCCTGGGGCTCCTGAGAATGGGACTGGAGTGGACAAATGGAGTGACCCCAGTCACAGATGGGGATCTTAAGTAACTTGGGGACCTCCATCCAAAGCTGCTAGCCACGGATTTCCTGATCTGCCCCTGAGCTTGGGGTCTTCCCTAGCTGGGGAGGGGATGCACCTCCGAGGCCCACCTGGGCCTGACTTTGAGTGGTGCCAGCCTGGCTTGCGGCCACAGGGCCAACCCCATGACAGAAAAACACCAGCCTGGAAGGGATCCTCTGACGCAGAAGGAGGACTGTCTTCGGCAGGGGACGCAGCCAGCCTTGACCACAACGCCGGAAAGGCCATCAGGGCCAGGACAGATTGTGCAGGGCGGGCGACAACAGGCCCAGGCGGACAATTGTATGGCTAAGAAGCCCTGGACTTGGGCCGCTGAGGGGCGGAGACAACCCGGACGTCCAGCCTGGCAGGCCTTCCGCCTCCGTGGCAGCGGCCGCCAGGACAGGGCGGCCTGGGAGCCAGTGAGGCCGCCCACCCTGCAGGCGCTGCGGCCGGGCCCCGCCCCCGTGCGTACCCGCCCCTTCTGCCCTGGACAGCGCAGCCCCCTGCGCGCGCCCGCACTCCGGCCTGCTCTCTCTCAACCTCGGCTGCGCGGCCCTGGCCATGGCTGGGCTGGCGCCGCCGCGGCCGGCTAAGGGCTACCGCGTGGTGCTGCTGGGCAGCGCGTCCGTGGGCAAGACGGCGCTGGCCACGCAGTTCACCTGCGGGACCTTCCCCACGCATTGTGAGCCGGCCGTCGAGGACCTGTTCAGCAAGCTCATCGAGGTGAACAAGGCGCCCGCGCTGCTGGAGATCGTGGACACGGTGGGCGCCACGCACCTGGTCACGCTCACCGACCTGTACCTGCGCAACGGCGACGGCTTCGTGCTGCTCTACAGCGTGGACAGCGCGGCCTCCTTCCAGGCGCTGCGGCCACTGCGCGAGCGCCTGCGCCGCCTGCGGGGCCCCCGCGCGGCGCCGCTGGTGCTGGTGGCCACCAAGGCCGACCTGGACGCCGAGCGCCAGGTGCTGACGGCGCAGGGCCGCGCGCTGGCCCGCGAGTGGCGGTGCCCGTTCCTGGAGATCACGGCCAAGAGCAAGCTCATGGTGGACCAGGTGTTCACGCAGATCGTGCGCGAGATGGAGACCCAGGCCCGCGCCCCAGCCCGGGCCCCTGTGCCTGTCCCCGCCGTCCCCCCGAGGCCCCAGCAGACATGGCCCTCTGAGAGGTACATCGGCTGACCGGTGGCGCTCCCTGTCCACGGGATCCCCTCTGGGCTCTCCTGACCTCGGGATTCCCCCTCGGTGCCTTGCTGTGACCGCTGGACCCGCAGCCAACGGCCACTCCTGCCTGACCTGTGCCTCAAGCTCCTCGCCTTTTCAGATCCTCACAACTGGGCAAAACCTGCAGGCGTCCCCCGTGACCGCGCTGGAAGACCACCCTCTTCCTGGAGTGGAATTTGGGATCGGACTGGATTTTGAAATGAACTTTTGAGTGACTCCAGTATTTGAAGTTGACCGCGGCCCCGGAAGTGAAGAGGGTCAGCTCCCACCCCTCCTGGTTCCACGTTACAGCGCCGACAGCCCACAGTGATTTCTCCACACAGTGACAGTGCTTCTGCACAGAGGGCGGGGTGCGCTGCTGCCTGGGTTAAAAGGGGATCTGTGTCCCTGGGAGGGAGGGAACAGCTGCGTGTCCACAGGGAGACCGCTCAGCTGCCCCAGCTGTTGGGGCCATGGGGCCGGTTTCTGCCACTAATTTGTATGAAGACAAAGTGAGGACACAGTTGCTGGCCATTAGTGTTTCCTTCCTGAGTCCCTGGAAAGCTGTCCCTGCTCCCATCCTCTGTCTGCCCTGACTCCAGCAGCAACCCTGCCCTGCTGCGCTTTTGCACAAATGCTCCCACCTCCCCCGTGGGCTCCTGCTGAGTTCTGCCAGCCCCTGGTGTTTGGTTCCCCCCTGAGTGTGGTGCTGGGTAGCATGGAGGGGCTTCCACCCCTGTGACCTCATGTGTCAGAGAAGCACTGCCCCGGGGCTCCTGGACTGGAGTCCTGGTGGAGCCGATAGCCAGGGGGTTCCTCCCAGAGGGCTGCCCGTGGGATGGAACCACTGGCCATCGTGCCCTTAGCTCTTCTTAACAAGGATACAGACAGGGGCTTAGAGACAAAGCGTGTAAGGAGCTTTAGCCCGGGTTTCCTTTAACCATCAGACTCCTGGAAAGCTTTACCCTGTTGTGAAGTGTTATCCGGGGCACACTTGTCCTGATGGGAGACGCTGGTGTTTATTTGCACTAGTGAGCATGCTAACCTCACCTGCTGCATCCCGGGTGTCCGTGTCTGGAGCCCAACTCTCACCATGTGACCGTCTCTCTCCATAAAGTCCCCAAGAACCCAATGAGCCTGTGAACTGACAGCGCATTCTCTCAGAGGACAGGGAAGCAGGGGGTAGTGGTTAGGAGTCGCTGTGGTGAGTGTATTTGTATATGAGATGTCTTTATAGCAGAATGGACTTGACTTTGACTTTAAGATCTAATCATAGGACAGCCAGTTCCCAGAACTGGACGTTAAAGCTGGAGTGGCTTCCCCTGCCCTGGGTCTCCCTCTGCTTCTCTGGAGCTGGGACACCTACTTCTGAAGCCTTCACGTTGTTAAAAAAAACAAACAAACAACCCAACAAAAGTGAAAGAAACAAAATAAAAATGAAGCAAGCAAGGTAAACAGCTCAAAGATATTAAAGCCCAGGGCAAATTACAAGCAGTTCCTCTATCTACTTTCCCGGAGACTGTTCTGTTTCTTAAAAAACAGAACAAAAATTTGAGGTAGTCCGGTTACCAGGCTGCTTCTAAGGAGAAGACTAGGGAACCTTGGTGTCGTGGTTACTTGTTAGGCTGCAATCTGAAGGGTCGGCAGTTGGAAACCACCAGCATATGCTTGCGAGAAAGACTGGGCTTCTATTCCTGTAAACAGTTATAGTCTCGGAAACCCACAGTGGGTCCAACGAGTCAGCATTAACAGGATGGACATGCGAGGGAGACACACGGAAAATCCACAACAAGCTAGGCTTAACCTTGCTCCCGCTTACTGATATGCTCACGTCAGATTACGAGGTGGACTGTATGGAGCCCTGGTGGCACAGTGCTTAAGCACTTGGTAGATAACCACATAGGTCAGTGGTTCGAACCCTCCAGCCACTCCTAGGGAAGAAATGAGGCAAGCCAACAAGGCAGTCCGCTCCAGTAAAAATGCACAGCCTTGGAAACGCTGTGGAGCAGGTCTCTGTCCTGTAGCGCTAGGAGATGGATGCACCGAAGAGCACAGGTGACATAGCTGAGAGGTGCTAATCACAGGCAGCTGGGGCACAAATTGCCATCTTGTTGATTTGCACTCAATGCCTCCGCTAAGTGCCGGGTACCATCGACTGCCCCCTAGCCTTGCCAGGGCCGTGAGCCTTCACAGGACGGACAGCCACCTCATTCTGCTCTCAGACCACACCTGGGGTGACCCCAAGACGATTGTCTAGAGAACTTGCCACGATTCAGCATACGTTTTAAATCTTAAATAAAAGGATCTTCATATTTCCTTGTAACGACAGAAGCGGGTGTTTTTGCAATCCCAATGTAAAAAGCCCTGGTGATGGGGTTGACTCCCGCTCACAGCGCCCCCTAGAGCACAGAGGAGAGCTGCTTCGCAGCGTTTCCAAGGCTGTGATTCTTGATGGAAACTGGTAGCCTCATCTTTCTCCTGTGGAGGCTGGTGGGCTCAAACCTGCGACCTTCCTGTTGGCAGCCCAACACTTAATCCACCGTGCCGCCAAGGCTCCTTCATGCAAGTTTACTTGTGCCAATATCCTTACAGGGGTACAATTTGATGCTAATTTGTTTTTTGAACCCTGGTGGGGCAATGGTTATGAGTTGGGCTGCTAACTGCAAGGGTCAGCAGTTTGAAACCACCAGCTGCTCCTTGGGAGAAAGAGGAGGCTTTCTACTCCCACAAAGAGTTGCAGTCTCAGAAACCCACAGGGGCAGTTATACTCTGTCCTATAGAGTCAGGATGAGTCAGAATCAGAATTGACTGGATGGCAGTAAGTTTTGTTTTGTTTTCTGAATGTGCTCTGGTCAGAGCTGCCATTAGCACCTGCCCTCAATATCCTTTCGAATCATGTGGTTTTGCATCATCAGCTTCTGTGGGCTTTTGCTCTTGCTGGTGTTTATATAGTTTCTTATTTTATCACATTTTCTGGTGTCTTTGCTACAATACTGTGGCACTGAGTGTTTTGGACCTATATTAATCCCTTTTTTGAGAGTGAAGTAGTAATTAGAGAAAAAGGAAAAGAACAATTGTTTATGATCAATTCCTAATAGTGTTGTAATTCAATGTAGCAAGGTTTTACAAGCCAATTTTGTGTAATAGATAATCTAAGAAATATGACCCTTATGCCGTTTTACAACTACACATACTTGTATCTACCACTTATTATCCTGTGATTAAAATGGTTGATCGTCATTACTAAGGCTTTTCTATGGTCAGGACAGGAGGCGGTGAGGTCCACAGAGTTCACACACTGGGTGACAACAACGAGACCACAGGGACTGGTTGGGACAGCTAATCTTAGGTCAGCAGTGGAGCAAAAACATTTGTGCCCTGTAGGGACATAAATAGATACAAGGATGGGTACACAATCAGAGGTTTGTAGGTACTGTATCCACCTACGTGTAACAGAATGAAACACCACCCATCCCGCACCATTCTCACCATTGCTCTTATGTTTCAGGTCACTGTGGTGGCCCCTGTGCCAGTCCATCAGGCCAGTACTTGTGGGAGTCTGCACATGTGGGAGTCTGCACATGTGGGAGTCTGCATGTCTCTCAGTCCATGGCCTGTGCCGTCTGCTGTCTTTAAGCTTCCCGTTCCTGGATGTTCCTGGCCTATTGTCCCGCCTGAGTTTGGCCTTTGTGATAATTGGTGCTCGGTGGCAGGCAGCCGCCATGCTCATTGGACACCTCTGCCAGGCATCCAAGTGTACCTCATTTACATGCGGACCTGTTTGAGGACTGATACCTGCCATTTCTTCCATATTTGGTAGCTACATGATTATTGGATACTATTCGTTACACTTTATTAGCATATGATGTAATGTTACCCGCCCACCATAGGGTATTTAAGCCCCTGCCTTCTGCTCAATAAATCGAGGCTTGATCAGACTCCTGTCTTGCCTCCATTTCTCGCGTCTCTTGCCCCTCTTCATTCCCAGTCCCTCTTTCATGTATCCACGTTGTTTAATGACCTGCGGGACAGGTCAAGTACTAAACACAGAAATCAAGATGTGAAGCTCTGGTTTCTCAACCGATCCTCTGTTTGGTCTCGACACGTCTGAAGGCGTCGTTTCCATCCCCTGAGCCCTTCCCCAAAGAATGTTGGCCTTTTTGGTTTACGCCATGTCAAAATGGCAGATTAGACACTCCCAAGGGTCTCAAATCGAGTTTCTTTGAAATGTGCTTTGAGTTTGGGAAACACAAAGAAGGCTGAGGGGGCAGGAGGAAGTCTGGCCGGTGGCTGGGCTAAGGCTTCTCAGTGGAATTCCCCATTCTGGTGACCCTGGAAGAATGAGTAAGCATTTTGTCCTTGTCTGCAGAGAAACTCTCCTGGCCTTTTCCTCCCCAAGGCAGTTTTCAATGAAAAATAAAAATTTCCATAATAAGTCGCAGTGACTGGCCTGTGTCCTTCAAGAAAACATCCATGTGATGCCCTTGGAGTTTCACCAGACAAACCAACCAAGTTCCACCTTGTCCTGTAGAGTCACTCTGAGTTGGAATCCATTTGAGGGCAGTGAGTTCAGTTTGGTTTTAGGAATGTCTTATTGGAGAGAGCCCTGAGGGTGTAGTTTGAGTAACTAGCCACAAGGTCAATGGTTCGAACCCGCCAGTTGCTCCCTGGGAGAAAGACGAGGATATTGACTCTTGTAAAGATGTAAGAGTCTGTAAGACACGGACATTACAAAAGTGTAGAGGGAAAAAAGAGGAGCTGATACCAAGAGCTCTAGGAGAAAGAAAATGCTTTGAACATGATGATGGCCATGCATACCCAAATGTGATTGATACAATGGATGGATGGATTGTGATAAGAGCTGTAAGAGCCCCCAGTAAAATGATTAAAAAAAAGAAAAGATGTAAGAGTCTCAGAAACCCTAAGAAACAGTTCTACTCTATCCTACAGCACGACCACGTGTCGAAATCGACTGGCTAGCAGTGAGTTTGGGGTGTGTTTCATGTTTTCCATCGAGTCCGTATGAAAAGCCAGGTCCTGTCTAGTGGGCTCTGATGCATGTGTGACCCACCTGTGTCCGAGGACAGCCGTGTTCCCCAGGGTTCGCAGTGGCTGATTGTTCAGAAGGAGATCACCAGGCCTTTCTTCCGAGGCACCTCTGAATCTTTCAAAGCAATCACCTTTCGGTGACTGCTTGAGCACTTCCTTGGTGCCACTCAGGGCCTCCTCCTGTAGGGAAGCTACTACCACCACCGCCACTGGTGGCCCTACAGGGCAGAGTAGAACTGTCCCGTGGGGTTCCAAGGCCACCACCTTTAGGAAGCCGACGGTCGGTCGCATCTTTCTCCTGAGGAGTGCCCGGGGCGTTCGTTGAGTGGCTTAGTGCTTCACGGCTGTCCCACGGGGCTCCCCTGTAGGGAGAATCCACTGCTGCTGTGGAGTTGATTCCAATGAATCTCTTTCCCTCTTCTCTCTGCCATCGAGTCGATTCTGACTCTCAGCATCAGAGCAGACCTACCCCTGTGGGTGTCTGCGGCTGTCAGTCTTTACAGGAGCAGACGCCGCGTTTTTTCTCCCTCGGAGCAGCTGGTTGGTTTGGCCTATGGTCAGTAGCCCAATGCATAACCCACTAAGCCACCGGGCTCCTCTTCAGAATAGCAGCAACCTTGCCTAGGGTTTCCAAGCCTGCACATATTTAAGGGAGTAAAAGCTCAGCAGTTAAAACCTTCCAGTTGGTCCCTGGACAGGTTCCAGGGCTCGGGAGCCCCGGCGGTTTTTATCCGAAGATGTACAGGTCAAACCCAAGGTTCAAAGAAGCACACAAATCCTCATTAGCACAACCAGGCGCCAGAAGATGAAAATGAGAAACCGAGGTCGTTTGCCTGGGTTTGAAACTCTAGGAGCTATCTGGCATCCTGTAGCCCGAGGAATGTGTACCTTGGGGCAGTGGGAGTTCTGTCATCCCGCGGGTCTTGTTGCTCTTCCGGATTTAGGCTGGACTCTCCAGAGAAGCAAATGGAGGAGGAGGAGGCATAGCCACGTGACTCAAGGCTCCAATGGGAACTGTGGTCATGGGACTGAGGTAGGAGGGAAGGCCCCCAGTCGGCTTTATTCTGAGCCAACGTGGCAGCAGGGCTTCAGACTGGGTCATTCTGGCTCCATACCCTGCTGTGAATTTGCCTTCCCACCCAGGTAGACTGACTCAGAATCTAGCTCAGTGGTTCTCAACCTTCCTCATGCCACAACCCTTCCATCTAGTTCCTCATGTGGTGGTGACCCACAACCATAAAATCACTTTTGTTGCTACTTCATAACTGTCATTTTGCTACTATTATGAATATCTGATAGGCAGGATGTATTTTCATTGTTATAAATTGAACATAATTAAAGTATAGTGATTAATCACAAAACAATATGTAATTCTATATTATGAAATATTTCTTTCTAATGACAAATAAATGAAATTTGGTCTTGAAGCATGGTGTAGCATGGGTAACAGTCTTCATGCTGGGTACTTGTAAGTGGACAGGCCCGCCTGGAGACGGATAGAGGAGCAGTGTCTCGGTTCCTAAGACCATCAGAAATATGTGTTTTCCGATGGTCTTAAGTGACCCCTTATGAAAGAGTCATTTGACCCCCAAAGGGGTTGAGACCCACAGGTTGAGAACTGCTGATCTAGAGTATAACAAGGCCCTTACACCATCATACTCCTTATGGTGCGGGCTTTATCAGTATTGCCTGGGAATCTTGTGGACAATCTAGATTCTGGCTTTGAATATTTAGGGGAGGAAAGACACATTCTCAGTTGGGGGCATGTTGAACTGGAACGAACAAGTTCAAAGTGGTGTTGACAGCCTCTGGCCTGGAAATGGAAGGCCCATTTATAATAGCTTCCCAGTTACCTTATTGGCAGAAAGGACGCCTGTGAGAGTGGACTTGGGGTGCCATTCTGTGGCCACATCCCTGGGCATTTTGCCCAAGTGGGACTGATCAAGAAGGGCTTCTGATGTCTACGTGGGGAGGAAGGAGAAGGGAGAGAAGTCACTGTTTCCATTTGAGATCCTTTCACTCATAACCAGATGGAATTTTGGTGGTAAGGACCATTTGATGATGTTCTCCTTCCTTCCCTCGGAAATCGAGATAAAGAGGCTAACCACGTGAGCTTAGAACGGAATCCCGGGGTTCAGTAGGAGTGGCTAGGGTACAGGCTGAAGTCAGCTACGGGAGCCAGGTGGCTTATTGGTGTGCCAGGGTGACCAGACTCACATGGTGTGTGCCTAGCCAGCAATGGGACTGGAAGTATGGGCTGGATCAATTAATGCCGCTTTATCACGACACCCAACACACACACACACACACACACACACACACTCTCTCTCTCTCTCTCTCTCTCTCTCAAAACACGTAGCCAAAGGACCACACATTATCTCCAAGGAAGACACATTGAGAGTGAGTTTCTAAAATAACTTCCAAGAAGACCTTTGACTTACAAAAAGCATCGATTCTAAGGTCATTTGAGTATTTTTGAGAACTATGCTCTATGTTGGCTCTAAAACTCTAGGGGGAAAGAGCACAGCGTTTACAAAAAGAAGTAGAACCCAAGCTCCCATATTTGTTGTCGCTTGACACTGGAAACGCTTGGAGCACAACGATGGGGTCTGCAGTCAGATCTAGAGCTGGCACTTGCTAGATGGGTGATCTCAGATG